TTATCTATTTAGGTTTACTTCTTTGGCACAACACTGGTAACTTTTTAAAATGTAGGCTTATTTTGAAGAATGTTATAGATCTAGCTGGATACGATGAATGTTAATGATCAGAATAATCTATACTACACATATATCATAATGAAAAAAATATTAAGAATGGCAGACTCTCTTTGATCTATGACAAAGAAAACAAAATTTTAATTTTTTTTTGTTTAAATAGTCAACTCCCTAAATACTCTCCCCAAACAAGTACTTTTTAAAAATTTGTCAAACATTTTTTTAATTCATTCATATTTTCATTTTTAATTTTTCAAAGTTCAATTTACCACCTAAGCAAAGAGAGGGAACAGAATTAAATATAAACATAAAAAAACAACAACACACGTTTCAAAAAATAAATGAGGTATAAATTTTTAGAACGGTTAAAAAAAATGTTTTTTCCAAAATATAAAATAGTTCAGTACAATTGATCTCCTTACCTCTGGGAGTGAGTATGTGCGTGTAATCTCACTACAAACGTATCCATTGTTTTCAAGCTTTTCTTCACGCTTTGCGTTAATCGTTATTCTGTTATTATCAGAAGTAATTTTCACATCTTCAGGCTTGAAATCTGGAAGTTCCAGGTTGATATTGAACTCTTTGTCTGTATTATGAATCTAGTGAAGTATAAAATATACATTAAATAATTTATTTGTAGCTGTGTATGGCAAGACGTGGGGACAGTTGGAGAGACTTGCCCTGAACAGAGATGCCTGGAGGAAGCTGGTTGGTGGCCTATGCCCCAGAAGGGACCACATGCAGAGATAAGATGAGAGATGATGAGTGTGGCTCAACAGTGATGGATGACAGGAAAAGAGTTATTATACTTAACAAAGAAATCCTTTGTGACAGAATGTCAAAAGAGATGCATGGGACATGTTCTAATACAAGGTTAAGCATATTTCTCATGAAAAAATAACATGGCAGACAAAACAAGGAAAATGGAAACAAGTCTGTGTTACAAACCATGTTAGGTTATATTCATGGTAGGGATACTCAACCTCAGTTATTGAAAGGTTGAGCATGGCTATCACAAGGGGTGAGATCCTGGTCAACAGGTCCACATAAATGGTAAAAGGGGTATTGCATGAGGTGTGTCATTTTTAAGTTACTTGGTGACGGGAGATGGAGATTGAGAGAGCTAATTGAGAGGTGTGCAATCTAATTAACTATTTTTGTTTTGGATTGATCTGATGATACACATTAATTTTATGTATATATTATAAGTTCAATAGTATAATTATTTATTAATTATATGAATGAGTTGAGTCTCCTTGGAGAGTGTGCTAGTGCTCCACTGACGTTCCTGGTTTACTGTCATTAAAAGACTAAACTAAGGCTTTGAGTTGCTTGCCAGTGATCCAACCCCCTAGACAACGACCTAACATTAGACAAAAGTAATTGTGCAAAAACAAGTTTTTTTTCTAACTATAATCCAAGCTATAATCTGATGACAAATTTGATACAGATCTAGAATTATTTTGTTTAATTGTTGATAAGAAGTTTGTAGAAAATGAAGGACGGAATCATATTGAAATTAGTAACTAGAATTAATTTGTTACATTTTGCATAAACTATTCTAGAATATTTAAATTATCATGTCCATATGCACATTTGGTCAACATGGTGAGATCTAAGAAAGTAGCAGTTAAGCAAAAGGAGAAAAAAATGTGTTCTAGATTAACACAGAAACTTTAAAGTCTAATTTAAGACCTTGGCATCTTGACAAGTCCAACTGGCTGGCTAGAAAGAATTTAATATTTGAAGAAAGGGTTAATGAAAGCAGTCATGGTTCAGGAATTATTTTTTCAATTACTATAAAAGAAAGACTAAAGTGCCTGGTCTTGCGGTTTGCATGCTGGACTGTCGTTTGGATTTACCTATTGTCCCGGGTTCAAACCTGCTCCCATCTCCTGTCATCCTGTGGGAGGTTTGGACTAGGAAGTAAACTATCTTCAACTCTGAAGGAACATCCAAAACATGTAAAACAAACAAACAAACAGTATTCAGTTCAGTTCTACGTCAGTCAAATTTCTGTGTCAAATTCAAGAGATAATAATGATAATAATAATGGTCAATTGCTTTGCTCTCTGGACTGACAACTTGATGATTTTAGGTATAATACAACTCCAGCAGAAGGTTTGGGCTAGGATGTAATTATCTCAAATTCTAAAGAACATTTCTGAAACATGTCAAACTAAACAATAACTACAAACACTATAAGTCTATATTATAACATTCATAGTCTGCAGAAGATACTGAGATGCAATCAATTTAAGGCTACCTTATAATTAAACCTACCTTTGTCAATCTTCAAATTACAAGACTAAAATATAAATCAATTTACTCAATTCATACCGCAATTCACTTAAATTTGGGATTGTCTCTTTTTTTATATTGTTCAAATTTAGCCAAATTGAAATAAGCTTAAACTCTTTGACACAGTGCAGGGAAAAGGGTGGGGGGGGGGGGGAGCTATAATAACATATATAATATATATATATATATATGTGAATTTCAGAAAATTTGTAATGGCTTCCAGTCCTAATTAATTTCTGACATTACTCTAATATTTTAATTATAGACTTGGTTTATGATTTTAAAAATATAGATTGGAACCTAAATATAGTCTAGTTAGATAAAAATCAAATCTAAATTCTACTTACTTCTGGCTCCCCATCTGCAATACTTTGTCTAAGATGTCTTGGCGTAAATCTGAAGTCAGACAAACGATTTAGCTCTTCTGAAAGACGTAACATTGATGCCATCTGTGATGACATGTCATCAAGGAGTCTTGGCATTAATTGAAATAGTCGGCCAGATTTATACATTTTTCAAAAGTTTACGTAGCAAATTAGTTATCAAGTCAAGTTATCTGTCTATCGATTTAGAAATCTACTTTATTGGTAGTAGATTTGTAGTAGTGGAAATTCAAATGATTAATGATGCGATGGAATTATCAGCGTATTTTTTTTTCACACAATCACTGGTGGTGCTGCTTAAGTCTTTTAAACTGTTATTGAGTGTGCATTCTTTTATATACTCCATTACTTTAACAAGAATATTCTGGCAATCTAGAGAAGACAAGAAATGATAATCATAGCAGGTGAGATGCGTAGTTTTTGTTATGTGACCTTTCACCTTATTTACAACTTTCAATAAGATCTAGGAAATCTAGGACAATCCAGATCTAGAATGTAGACTAGCAGCAGAGATCTAACGACACTACCATTCAAAAATGTGAAGAAAAAAAATGAACGAAGTATATTATGTCGATTAATAAAATAATATTTAAAAAGGTGCTTTATTTTAGTTACTTTTTTTTTAAATTCAAGGTTGAATCATATTGGTATTGTTTGACATTTGACGTCTCAAAAAGGTCAAAAGCTAGATTTCCCATTGTTACGAACCTTATAGATAAATAGATAATCGATACCATTTTTCAAATAATGAAAGTTATGTAAAAAAAAAGTAAGTTGAAGCTGTTGTCCAGCATAAGTTAATTATAAATCAAATCCTGTAATTTTAAGTCGTTTAATAAAAATAAAGATTGCTTTTTAAAAAAATAATATGAAAATCTTTTTTCTTTAAAGTATCGGGCAAAACATGAAGGTATTTATTTTTAGTCAAGTCCCACAACTGTCTCTGGAAATTTCGATATCGCCATAGAATTTTATTATTTTGAACATTTAATACACACTCAAATATTAACTCCTACGTCTATATTCTAGTTTTTTTTTTTAAATATAAAATTAGATACAGACATATATCGAAAAAACTGTTGGGACCAAAACATGTACATTTAAATGTCCTCATTATTATCGCGCACAAATACAAATCTTAGAGTGGGAATCTCCGGAAATTTCTAGTTTGTCCGTTAGTATTTCTAGAAAGAGGTCAAGTTCATAACCGTATCAAACGCTTTATTGGACTATAAATGCCACTGTGCTGTTGATTCTCAGTTCTTTTTTCTAAACCTTTGTAACTATTCTCGACGAACTGTTTGCCTTCTGAATAATCTAGCCTACTTAGATCTATTCATTTAATCTGCATCCAGCATTGCTGTGACGTGAAAATGTTGAGGCTTGTTCAACAACCAAGTTATTTTGATGATGTTTTACCTCTAGTGCGCCTAGCAGACGAACTTGCAAGTGCTTATCATGATCCTGGCTATAACTACAGCGCTTCTGCAGGTGATAGTAGAGCAGTAGCACGTCGTTATGGGGAGTCAGAGGTAAGAAAAATATTAGATCTAGAACTAGATTATATTTATTTTAAAATTAAAAAAAAAGCATTTAGAGAGTCTTAGTTTATATCTAATTTTAGATGTAAATATTTAATTTTAATCTGGGGTTAAACAAAAAGTGGGATCTAGAAGAGATTGTCTATAGTGTATAACTAGATCTAGTATAAAAATAACTGTTACTGTATAAATAACTATTATTATTAAAAGTCTTAAACTTAAGTTAAAGTTTTATTTCTTCTGAATAAAAAACAATAAAAGTATGTAAACGTGTATATTGAAGCCGTACACAAGCAAAATTATAAAAACCTAAGACGGCTAAGAATATCCAATCAGCACATAATTAGTTTATTTGAAGATTATTTTCACTGTTGCATTGAAACACTTGTGCACTGATTTAAAAAATAGATACATCTTTATTATTTTAGGTTTCTTTTCTTCCCAATACACCCTATAGCATTCAACTGCATTAGGCTTATTTCGTAATTCATGCATCTTTTTGCAACAGGTGAATTGGATTAAAATATTGGTTAATGCCTTCTTTCTTTTATTATACAAATTCAGGTTCACAACACTGACAAGGAATTCCGTGTTCGAATGGATCTACATCACTACAAACCTGAAGAAGTGAAGATAACCTCAGACAACACCAAGATAACTATTAATGCTAAGCATGAAGAGAAACAAGACAACCATGGCTTTGTCTCAAGGGAGATTACAAGAATATACAAATTACCAGAGGTACCAGTATTGTGATTTTTTTTTAATTTAAATTTTTGTAATACTGGTTGTAAAACTATAATTAGAGTGAGATGCACGAGATGATTTCAGTTCATGTGAGAATGGGGACTTGTACATTGTTGAGAAAGGGGGTACCTGATCACATGACCAGATGTTTTAGTTAGTTAGCGCCATGATGCATCGAGAGACGGAGGTGTCTCTGGTTTTAAGAAAATGTAATGAATATTATGGATATCTATGTGGAGATTTTCTATGGATGTAATTTGTATTCTATATGAAGTAATTTGTGATGATATTCTATGGCTGAGATTGCCTATTTTGTGAGCTATTATTTGATGTAATAAATATTCATCTGCCAGAGAGGAGTTTGTGATTATTTTATCCATAATATGTGTTGTGATTTAATTGATAATACAAGAATACTACATCAAGGCCAGAAGAGGCCCTAATACAATTCAAACAACATTCTCACACCATCAAGATGTGACACTGGTATATAAATATAATATAGGTGTTTTGTATTGTTGAATATTTGTAATTTAAATATATTGATAATTAAAACATATATGGGTATTTCAATAATGTAAATAGTAAGTCTGATAATGAAAGTTATTTATGTCTTTAGGGGATGGCTGTGTAATCCTACAAATTTTGCTGGTGAATATTCAGTACTGATCTTCTAAGCAGAGGTTGATCAAAAAGCAAGGCGGTAAAATTGCTTAGAGTCCACAAGATAGAATTATTAAAGAAAAAAAGTCTTCTCTTGATATAGATGAATAGTTTTTATTGTGTTAAGTGTTAAAAAAAAATTTTAATCTATGAGGCAGATGATCCCAGAATTAAAAAATGAGACCCCCAGTTGGAAGCCAATCACTTTACCACTTAGCCATTGGGCCACCAAATACTTTTAGTTCTTCCTAAATTTTCTATTTGCTGTGTATGTTATGTTCACTATAACTAATTTGCTGTCTTGTATTTTTCAGGATGTTGATCCATCATCTGTTTCTTCAACAATGAATTCCAATGGTATTCTCAACATTAAGGTTCAAAAAAAGGCTCTAGAACCACCAAAAGAGACTGCCATTCCTGTCACCTTTAAGTAATTAGGACTGAGTGCAGTGTTTTCTGATCTGTGCTTCCAATGTTCTTTGTTTATTGACAATTGTTCCAGTATTATTCCAAAGTTATTGATTCTATAAATAAGTTTTGTAAGAAAAATGTTCTTACATTTTGTTTTTATTTTCATATTGTTACACAATCTTTGTATTTATAATTTATTTTGACTAAGATATTGCCATTTTACATTATACATGTTAAATTAATAAACTTAAGCTGAACTAGTTTCAGTTATTTATTTTCAGTTTATTCTGCGTGTAATTTTTTTTATATATAATAATAAAATAAATATTTAAAAAATTCCTGCTATTAAAACTAACAAAATATACCATTTAAAATAAAAATTTGCATCTAAAGTAATGGCCAATCTATGTCCACTAAACCTTAGGAGGGAAAGGTCCATACTGACCTTTGAGTGGTATAAAAGGCTGGATGAATAGCTCTCAGCTAGATGGATGGTTGGAGATGCAGTCTTTTATGCATCATGGCACTAGACTCGATAAAGCTAACCTCTCCACCAAATGACCAAACATTCCTTTTCATCACCTATCCTTTGGTGTCGCCCCCGACATAGCCAACGCTTGAAGCTAGTAGACCATAATGCCAATAAGCTAAGTCGATCTAACGACCTTTATATTCTAGCACTTGAGACCATTAATGCCTTCAAGCCTAGTGCCATTTTTGCATATGGCATCGATAGATTCTGTATAGTTTCTTGGCTCTGACTCAGTCAATATCTTTTGACCATGTGGTAGTGTTTGCAGTTTTGATGCGGAGGCCATGACAGTCTCGAAAGCCTTTCAACTCAGCGAGGGACAATTGCGTTGTGGTCACTGACTCGAAACGTACTACAAGCTTTGGGCTTCACACAACATAAAAAAACTGCTATGGTATCCCTGTACTATGCAGTGGTTAATGAGTCACTTGAGTATGACTGGAAACACTATTCAGTCTCCTTGGCCCACCAGGGAGGGCAAACACCAACCACTGAACAGGCTGTGAGTCTTCATATCATGCTCCGGCTATAATAAAAAAAAAAAAAACAGAGATAGAAAAAGTGGTTTGAGTGCTGCGACAAGTCCCAAAAAGCCAGTGGAGTCTGGGAGCACATGAGGCGCCTGACCGCACTTCCATGTGGTGGAGGCTGTCCAGGCCTGAGCAAGCTATTATAGCCCAGTGCAGGACAGACCACTGTCCTGTTGGCTCGTATTCCCAGGACTATGGCCAAATTTTGATTCACGTGCCCCTGCTGGGCACCGCTGCGTGGAAGAGGAAACAAGTCTTATCTCGACATGTCAATTTAAGGGTTCTGATAACCAGTCCTAGATTTTGTGGATGAACTGCCAATGGTTTTCATATCAGGGAACTCTCTATACAGTTACTTAAGGGTGTTTTAAGGTCAGGTTGTTAGGGCAAGAAGACACGGTTTACTTACTAATCCCCATGTTTCAACTTTCAAAACGTAAGACATTAATATCTTAGCATTTTTCTCCTTTATTACCAGCCTATCAATTTGAAAAAAAATTTTGTTTATGAGGGAGTCGTAAGTAAATACCTTTAGACTAAAGATGTACTTCTTGAGTTCAAAACTTTCACATAAGCCAGAATTAATTTTAAAGGAGTGCTATTAAGTAAGGTCTAAAATGGTGGTATATTGGCAATACTATGTCACCACAAGTTAAATGTCTAAACTGGGTGGTATTTATATAGCTGGAGATATAGTTTCCATATTAGGCAGTTCTCCATAACACTCTTGAAGAGGAATAGTAATCTGTAGCCTCTCCTCAGGCTTGCAGTTGACAATATGACAGGGAAAATTTATTTACTTTGACAATATATAGAACAAAATACCTGGTCTACCACTTAAATAACTATTAGTGCAATACTAAATTATGTTTTATAGTAACATTCTTTAAATTTTTAAACATCTGAATTTAAATATTTCACATCACATTTTTTTTTCAGTACTAGCAGCTGGTATTATACAGTATTAGTGTAGAAAATGTACCAGTGAAATAATGCAGCCTTTCTAAAACTGAATAAACAGACAGCAAAACAATTTTTAATATTTTATTATAACAATTTGAACAATGTTCTTTTTTTAAATGTATATTCAAACATACTATAATTAAACAGTTTTAAGAAACGCTAAAAAATGTTTTCAATAAATAATACAATCACCGTACAAATATGCAATGTTAACATTTACTACAGTAAAAAAACAAAACAATCAATGAATACCAATAATTGAATAAGACAATATCAAATGATGCATTGCTAACAATCAAACTGACAGAAACAAAACGTACACATTTTTTTATGTACTAACTGATATAACTAGTAAACATTTTGTTAACTTTTACATTTTAAATTATAAAAAAAAATAATTTTTTATTAAGAAACTAATAATCACTTGGAAACTACTTAAAAGTAACTGGAATGACTGTTTCCTTTGATTCTTCTAAAGTTTTTTTCTGGACTCTGATGTTGAGAATACCATGTGCATTCATTGTTGATGAAATAGATGAAGGGTCAACATTCTGAAAAAACAAAATAACAGAGTTTAAAGTACAAATATTTATTAATGAGAACATAAAAAATATGTGACACAAACTAGAGGAGGACACATCAATGTTTGGATACACCGGAAACAAGATGGAAAATATGGCTGAGTAATAGATCTATTGTTGGAACCCAACCCTTAGAAAGGAATTCAATTAGTTGAAATTAAAGTTGATCATTTTCAACCATCTTTTTATAATGATAATATACCATCTTGAAATGATATGTATAAAATATTTTTTTTATAAGCGAAAGTTCAGACGTTAACTACAAAAATCATGATTTACCCTGCCCCCTCCTGTCATAACAAAACTTGAATGCACCTGTTTATAAATAATTTTTACAGCACTGTTAATAAAGGCTCTATTTAAGGTGCTATGATAACTAACATAAACAGGAGAGTTAAAATGACAAACTGATCTAAAAAAAAAGTTTTTGTTATTTCATTTGAATATTTTTTTGTTTTATTATGTACGGTAACAAATTTGTATACACCCCTTTTTCCTGTCACATAATCTGAACATTCTCTAAAAAAATAATGATGAATGATATTATTATAAGCTAAAACGTTCATCCACCAAATGGGGCCCATGTGTTTAGCCCTTTCAGGCCCCTCAATGTTTTCCCCCGTACTGGCCCCATCAGGGCTTCATCTTGGCCCCCAAAATTAGCCCAGACTCAGCCCTAAAGTCCCCCGTTTGGGTGAACGTTCATCCCCCAAATGGGGCCTATGTGTTAAGCCCTTTCAGGCCCCTCAATGTTTTACTCGAACTGTCCCCATGAGGTTTCCATCAGAGCGTCATATTGGCCTTCTGATTTCACCCAGACTTGACCCTTAAGGGCCCCATTTGGGCTTTCATTAATTCCCCCCCTAAAGGGCCAAGTATCTATGGCCCTGTTGGGGCCCACAAGTCCTTCCCCTTAGTGGTCCAAAAAGATTTCACTGCATCAGTGGATTCAAGATTTTCTGATAGGGAGAGAACAAACTGTAATAATAAATGGCTCTAAATCAACACCGATAACAGTAAACTCAGGTGTACCTCAAGGAACAGTCTTGGGTGAACTACTATTTTTAATTTACATAAATGATTTACCAAATTGCATTAGTTCAGGAACAAAAGTCAGATTATTTGCAGACGATTGCATAATATATAGAACAATAAAAACAACACAAGACACAGATATTTTACAAAGAGAATTAGATGAATTACAGAAACGGGAATCAAATTGGAGCATGTCTTTCCACCCAGAAAAATGTCAGTTGTTAAGAGTAACAAAAAAACTAAAACAAATTAATTCCACTTATCTTATTCATGGCAAACCAGTAACACAGACTAAAAACGCAAAATACCTAGGTGTTATAATAAATGAAAAACTGTCATGGAATCCACATATTGATGAAACTATAAAAAAATCAAACAAAGCATTAGGATTTATTAAAAGAAATTTCTATAAATCAAATTAGAACATAAAACTAAAATGTTATTTAACCTTGGTTGGGCCAATAATAGAATATGCATACTCCGTTTGGGACCCCTCAACTCAAGAAAACATTAAGAAACTGGAACAGACACAAAATAGAGTAGTGAGATTCATAACAAATGAATATTCACATTTGACTAGAGTAACACCTATAGTAAAATCACTAAATTTAGAAAGCCTTCAGGACAGAAGACTCAAAAGTAAAGTCGCAATTATACATAAAACACTGAACCATAATCTTCAAATACAAAAACAAAATTTAATAAAATACTCTGAAAGACACAAAGATAAAGGCACATTCCTCGTCCCATATGCTAGGACAAATTTGTACAAATACTCCTTCTTCCCTAGTGCTATTAGAGCATGGAATGGGTTGCCTGAGCTAGCTAGGAAAACCAGTGACTTGGCAGATTTTAAGTCATTGGTTAATATGCATGTCGCGTAGGACGTAATCATCTTCTTTTTTGAAGTAACGTCTGTATTATATAAGATAAGATAAGGTGCGAATTATCTTCACTACATCTTAGATCTAAAGGTAGACACTGTCACTAGGTAGATCTACGGACTGTCCACTGCTACAAGTTGGCCTAGATTTTAGGTGAGGGCAATTTTTAGGAGGATTTTATGAGACTTTTCATTTTTTAGGAGCACTATGAACCTTGGTGCTGTAAATGCAGGGGCGCATTGGCTATATGGGCGTTCGGGCAAATGCCCGGTGGGCCGGCACCAAAATGGACCGGTGGGGCCACAGGAATGAGCAAATGGATGCCACTTATGTATCAAATTGTTAAAATGTTTTATGATATATATGCTCTTATAAAAGGGACGCCCCTAATTCTACAGTGT